GATTTGCAGGAAACAATTTTAATAATTACTAATTCTAAAAAGGCTACCTTAAATAAAACATTCCGTGAGTTCGTCTAAAATTGCGTTGTGAGGAAATTATATTTTTCTTTTTAAGGGTAATTTTGGTATTTTTTAAAAAATTTAACTCTGTTAACAAAATTTTGGATGAAAAATCAGATTAGGAAGATAAGTGATAAAGAAATTTTAAGTAAGGGGATAGATGATCAAAAAATTTCGAGAAGGGGATAAGTGATTTTGAGAAAACTTATAAATTTTTTTTTAAAGTTTTTCCTATAATAAAAAGAAACTTTGACCGCCTTGGAGAAGAAATACCCCAACATATGCTTATTTGTACGAACAAAAAATATGTCACCATGTTATCAAAAAAAAAAAAAAAAATATGTCACCAAAATTTAGGAGGCACATTAACCACATTTATAACTACATACGCCTATAACTAATCGATAATTATTGAAAAACTAAAAATTCAAGTGTCATGAGAGAAATTTTTATTTATTATTATTATCATTTGTAAAAAAGAAAAAATATTTATCATTTTAAATAATATAATTTTATATCATTTTAATTAAAATAATTGTGTTTTGGCAGATACTTATTTATTTTTTAATTTTCTCTTCCATAAAATTAGAAAGAGAAATAACTAAAATATCGTGGAAGAAAGAGACAGCAAAAAATCTCAAGATATGCACCAAACATGATTATTTCACTTAAAATAACATAAATTATGCTTTTAAAATGGTAAATATTTTTTTCTTTAGAAAAATATTATTTTATTTTCAAATACTTATAAAAAATAGAGTTGACAAAGTGGGACCAACCTCATCGATTAATTAGTTTAACTCGTCAAATTTAAGGACTTTGATGTAATTATCAACCCTCCAACCGGTATTGCATGTGTTAAAATAAATCGGGCACGGATAAGAAGGATTGACCTTCCAAATACTTTATTATTGTTTTAAAAGAATATTTTTTAAAGTGGGTCAATTTTCATGATTGGTATCGACAGGAACTTTTTTTGTATGCAAAATTGTTTTTGAAGTGCAATAGGTGGGTTTTGAACTAAAATCCTCCCCATTAAAACTTATAACACCAACCAGTAAGTCACAATTAATAACTTACGACTATTACATTGTATATTTTTTATTAGGTGCACATGGGTTCCACGTAAGAGTATAAATAAATTGGATCGGGGTCAGATTTTGACTTAAATATATTTGATTTAATTTATATTTTTTTTAAAAAAATTTGCTTATGCTTATTGGTTTGTTTAATTCAATTAGAAATTCAAAAAAAAAAGTAATTAAAATAAGTAAAGGTTATACTTACTACTTATTTTTCTTACTATATCTTATTACCAAATCTTAACCGTTGATTTCTGTCAATCTAACGGTTATAATTTATTAAAAATTAACAATTAATTAATAAGTATGACCACATAAATTACAACCGTTAGATTGTCGGAAATCAATGGTTAAGATCTAATAGTAAGAAATAATAAGTATAACCTTCTCCATTAAAATAATATTTTTATTATTTAAAATTATTAAAATAAATAATATGATATAGATCAGTCTATAAACTTATAAACCAAGTTTTATAAAAAAAAAGTCTACGATCTGCTGTCTAAAAAAGTTGGAGTCTGAATAGATATAATAAGTCAAATCTAACTTGTTGTAGGCCGAGCCATAGCCCTTGATAAATCCCCTTATTTATTTACACCCTTAATTTTACACATTTTTATGTACATAATCTTCTACAACATTAGAAACTTGGAAAAAAAAATCTTTGAACACACCATGCCCATGTTTCTTGTTTAAATGCTAGGCAAAACGTTTATGTGAGGAGTGAATCATCTCATGTGTTATTTTATATTATCATATCATATGGAAGAATTTTAACTATATGATTAATAGATGAGACACAAAAAATATTGTGATAAAAGAAAATTATAAAATCATCATGTTGAGTTGTTCATTGATGGTTAAGATCATTTTATATGATATGATAATATTAAATGAGATATGATGTATTTATAAACCTTAAGTGAAATATTCCAAAAAAATATATTAAATAAATCAAAGAACACGCTTTCACAAATAAAAGGAAAAATTAACTAGACAACTGCACGGACAACGCGTGGAACAGGTATCAGTCTCAATCACAACTTCATAGCCAGACAATAACTATAGTAATTACTCTTCAATTTCAGTGTGTTTTTAATGGGTTGGTTACAACCTTTAAAAAATTAAATATTCAAGTGTAGTATCTACTAAATAAAATTTTAAGTGTAGGGCGATTGATTTTAAATATAAGGTATTATTAATTCTTATTGATTTAAGTACTTAGAAAATTTTCCCATTTAACTAAAGATTTTAAATTTGAGCCGGAGAAAATAATATTGTGAGAATTATATTCCTTACATGAGATTCGACAGAAAATAAATTAATCGGAAAATTAATAATTAATAGAAAAATAAGAAAAAATATAAGGTATTGATAATGTTTAATTTTTTTTATGAAAATTACAAGATAAATATAATTTATTAAAAAAATATTAACAACTTTTTTTATTTGTTAGATATAATTTCATACTAATTTTATTAATAGTAAGTGAATATAAATAATTTAATATGATAAATATGAAATATCTTTCAATAATAAAACTGCTAAAAAAATTATTCAATAATATATTATTAACATATTTAGAAAGTACATTGTATGTTTGGAGACCAATAAATATGAAAAAAAATTCAAATTTAAATGAATTTTGACAAATTAAATAGATATGATTCAAACTGGATTTAAATTAAGTAATCATGGAATAAGTTAAATTTATATAAAATTTATTTTAAATTAAATTTTAATGTTTTCCAAAATGTTTATGATTTTTGAATAAATCTTTAAAATATCATTTGCATCAAACGTTCTGTGCCTCTGCCTATTTATTTTATGATACATGAATAAAAAATATCATACTAATTATTTTTTTTAGAAGATGTAATATTTTTTATTTATGTATCATAAAATAAATTAGTGAATGGATTAAAAAAAATTTATAATTTTTTCTCTGACAAATACTAGAAGGGTTTTATTAGTGTTATGTTACATGATTTAAGTGTTGTTTTTAACACACACAAAAATAGAGAGAGAAAGTGGAATAATGAAAGAGAAAAAAAAATATGTAGATCTCACCTCTTTAATGTGTGTGTAGAAAAATGATGTTATATGATGTTACATGATAAACATAAAACCCATACTAGAATCTCTTGATACAAACTCAATAGTAACCAGACACGTTTCGTAATGCTAATGGTGAAATGTCAAATCATCTTTCCTTTCCCTTTCAGATATACTCAAGTGCTTCTCATTAGCGCCGGACCCAAGGGAAGGCTAAATTTTAATATTTTTTTATTATATATATAAAATGAAGAGAAAAAGATTTATCTTTTTAAAGATATAATTTTGTGTTATTTTAGATCCTAACTTTGATTTTTATCTATCAACGGTTATAATTTATACAGTCAAATTTATTAATTAATTAATAATAAGTTTGACCTATTAAATTTGATCCAATAAATTATGAGAAAACATTTTCTTATGTTATAGAAGAGTTGTTTTTTCTACGAGTGACCCTTCGATTTTCGTGTAATATTTTTTTTTGTTTTTTATTTTTTTAATAGATGTGGACCCCACATAAGATGTGTCTACAACATGAGAAAATTTGTTACTACCATATGAGAAAATCGAAACACATAAATTATAACCGTTGATTGACAGAAATCAACGATTAAGATTTAAAATGACACACAAGTTTATATCCTTTTAAAATGACAAATATTTTTTCTTAAAATAATACTTATTTAATAATAATAGATTATTAATATTAATAATTAATAATTTTCTATTTTTTTTATAAAAGTTAATCTATCCTATTATTTTTAATAAAATTTATAATTTTAATATTTTATTTTCCAACCTATTATAAAAAATAAGTCTTCCTTTACTCTCATTAAAGTAACTTACCATGGTCCCACTCCTCCTTTTTTATGCATTCAAATCACTGTCATTTTTATGTATTTATTTTATATTTTTAATTAAATATTAATACTAAAAGCTCAAAATATGCTGGGGAGCCTATTCGTCTTTAAAGTGGTAGTTATGCTCGTTCGTTACCCAATTTTTTTTCCAAAGTATCTGTTTCTTTTAACTAATATATATCTTTTATAAATATTAATTTTTGGGAGAGGTTATATTAAGTATCTTTTTTTTTACTATATTTTATTATCAAATTTTAACCAATAATCTCCGTCAATCTAACGGTTATAACTTATTCTATTTAATAATTAATAAGTATTATCCAATAATATAAATTTTTTATATTGATTTTTGAGTTTAAATCATAAATCAAAATTTTATTTTATTTTCCTTATTAGTAATGACTTTTTAGAATGGGCTAATAAAGGTAGAGAGAGAAAAAGAGAATCATGATCATTCAAAGGTAAATCAATTAATATAAGGAAATAAATAAACAAAACGACGTAATTTTGAGTAGTCGGAGATAAAATTATCTCAAATTGTCAGAGAAATATTTTTTCCTTTTAAAAATATTTTTTTTCTTTTTACAAATTATCTCAAGTTGTCGGAGATAAAATTAGAATTATAAAATAATTTTAATTACAAATTAAATGTGTAATTTTTTTTATAATATAAATTTTTATTTAATTTTCATATCATATGATACAATTGTATTACATGATACAATATTATATGATTTGATACGAATTGTTTTTAATACAACTCATAATATATATCACTCTGTAAATCGTATCGTAAGCTGTAGCGTAAGAAAAGAATATACGAAAAACATTAAATACTATGTTATTTTGCAATTAAAGCATCATATTTGCAATCGGGTACATAATTGGCCCGTCGTACAAGAAACCGCGTGAAACGGCGCATTATATAAATGACCCGTTCGTAAGAAAAGAACTAAACCAGACCCTAACTTTTTCGAGAGAGAGAGAGAGAGAGTTGAGATTTCGTTTCTCACTCTCATCAGTTACGGACAAGAGAAGACGCCATGGACGACGAGGTGCGCAAGATCTTCAGCAAGTTCGACAAGAATGGCGACGGCAAGATCTCGAGCGCCGAGCTGAAGGAGATGCTCCTCACGCTCGGATCAACGACTACCTCCGAGGAGGTGAAGCGCATGATGGAGGAGATTGACCAGAACGGCGACGGTTTCATTGACCTCAAGGAATTCGCCGACTTCCATTGCACCGAAACCGGAAGCGACGACTCCAAGGAGCTCCGCGACGCCTTCGACCTTTACGACATCGACAAGAACGGTCTCATCTCCGCTAACGAATTGCACGAAGTGCTCAGGAAGCTCGGCGAGAAGTGCTCCCTCGGCGACTGCCGGAGGATGATCAGCAACGTCGACTCCGACGGCGACGGCAATGTCAACTTCGAGGAATTCAAGAAGATGATGGCTCGCTCCTAGATTCGAAACGGTACGTTTTATTTTCCTCACGTTTGTTAGGGTTTTAGATTTAGTAATAGCTAGGTAAGAATTGCACATAAAGTAGTCCACTTCTTCTGTACACTCTCTACCTTGCTATGTTTGGTTTTAGCTTTTAGGTTAGGGGCGAAGAACTAGTAGTATTTGTAGGAGACAGTTAAATGCTGATAACTTGTTTTATGGAAAACCTGTGCTTCGTTTTGTTTAATCCATTGTCACTAACCTGTGGTTGCTTTTAATTTTCTAATATAATTTTTGCGCTCTGTGCCATCGAAATTCGGGATATAAGATATTCTTGTATCTCGATATATCAGTAACAGAAAGAGGAAAACTCGTAGCATATGAGTTTCATGGAGTGACGAGTAACTGGAAGTTTTTGATTTGATTTGATTTTTTTTTTTTTTAGAGTTCGTAGGAAATATATAAATGATTTGATTGGTTGGTGCTGTGTTCACGTTATCCGCAATGTGGAATGATCGGATGGAAAATTAATTCAAAATTTTAAAACTGATTGTAAAATGGAAACGGAAAACGCGTGAGCGGTTGTGGATGGGATCGGGTGAATATGAAAACGGCCTATAGCGTCATGTTATGATGTGATGGGACTGTTGCGTTGCTGAGCTCAACGCGTAGTTTGAAATTTTGAATTGAATTGAATTGAATTGGGTGGGTCGTGGAGTCAAAAAAGTCGAAAGTAATTGGTAATAATTAATACCCTTTCCTTTTCCGGCAGCTGCGGGTGACAGGGAATGGTTGTAGGTCATTTGTATTTTTCCTTTTACCGGATTAGTCCCCGCCTTTTAAATACTTTTTATTTAGTTATAATTATAATTTTAATCGTAGTCATGCATGTTATGGAAACTAAGAAAAGTACAAAACTTACCTTTTCCTTTCTTTTATTTTTTCTTTATTAGATTTTTTGCCGAGAGGTGTTTCCCTAGCAAAAGAGATGGATGAATTGTGTTTTATTTGCACATTTTGTTATTGTGCTACTGAATACATTATTTTTTCTGTAATTTGCTATTGTGCTACTTGTTCTGCCCGATGTGTCCAATTGGGATTGGATGATTGATCTATGATTCAAGTGTCTTCTCTGGATACTTATGAGTTAGGTATCTTGAGGACAACAGATCACACATTATCTAATGGCCTTAGCCTTGGAAGAGGTGTGTGTGTACTGTCTAGACTGCGTAAATAGGTAAAAAGAGATTAGGTCATACCTGTAGCGTTTTAGCTCCTATTTATAATGCTTACCTGTGGGCCTACGCTGATCGTGGGCCTTACTGATCACGGGCCTCATTCTGGTCCATAACAGTTGCCCCCCAGCCCGGTATGCTGAGCCTTCAGGATGCCGGGGTGTAAAGGGTGCCTTGCCAATCGCAACAGATCCTCCTTTTGCAGGCAATCATTACAACCCTCCACGCGGCCCTCTCATATCTACGCGACGTGTGCCACTACGCCTGCTCGAGCCGCTGGCATTTATTGCAACTGCCCCCGCGTCCTTTCAACTGTCTTTCCTTACGAAGTTACCCTTTTACCCTTGACCTTTGGTTTCGCGGGTTTCGTCTATTTGATTTGCGCTTCTTCTTTTCTTACTTTCTTACTTGCTGCATTACGCATTATGCGCTTAGAAACTTCGTTCAACATTTCCTGCATTACGTTCCACAAGATCTCCTTCAGTTCGTCAGTTTCTCGTCGTTTGTTACCTCTCGCATCCTTCACTTGCACCAGGTACGTGCTTCAACCTACCTTATTTTTCTTCCTCTCTTGCTTTGATTTTCCTTTTGCTCGAATGTATGTTCGTCAGGAGTGCATTTTCTGTTTCTGGGTATGCTTGTTTAGGCTACGCGTACTTAGGAATATACCCTTTAGGATACTTTGCTTGTTAATGCAATGTTCTTCCTTGGGTACTTGACTGTGAGTTGCCTGTTGTCACTTTATTACCTTGTCCACCTGTTTATACCTTGCTCTCTCCTTAATAGCATGAACGGGGGGAATTTGCACTGTAGAGGGACGTCCACCTGCCCTCGTGTTTTTGGCCGTAGTGATGAGATTCTACGAGAGGAGGAAGAGCAAGCCATACGGGAGGAGGTGAGATATGTCCAGAGCCTCCCCCCCGGAGCGAGGTTTTGGTTGTATGCTATACCTCGGACCCAGGACGAAGCGCAACCCGCCCTACTTAGGAGCTATCGCGGAAGTAGAAGCAGAGGAAGTTCTTCATCCCGTCCTCCCAAACGAGGACGTCGCCAACGATCTGGCCGCATCCCTGCTGTTCCATCCCGACGTTCCAATCCAAATCTGGGTAGAGGCTTAGGTTCTGCCAATTCGGCTTCTAACCCGGCTTCAAGTTCCTGTTCAGTCCGAAACCATCATCCCAGGTGCTAAGAATATAGATCCGTGTTTTAACTGTGTCTATCTTAGCAGCCGATTTATAGAGAGAGGGAACGACTTTATGGCCGATGCGGTGCTAGGAAGTTGCACCCATTATCCCGGCTTACCAGATCCTGCCTCTACTTCCTTGTCTTCCTCTGATGATTCGTCCGACTCTTCCCACGATAGTTTGTTTAGCTCAGGTACGTACACTTTTTGTCACGTACTATTTCTGTTTTTAATCCCCCACTTTTGCTGTTCTAGGTTTTGATGGAGTCCCCTTATGCAGAATTTGCCCCTGAAATGACCTCGTCAAGTCATGGTCGAGAAGCCGACGCCAGCCCTGCCGATCAAGGCTCTTTTGCCGTAGATACAACTCTTCGTAAGCAGTTCCCCTGGGTGACCGAGGAGGTGCTTAGCTTCCGGTCATACATGACGACTGAGGAGATATCCAGGCTTCCCATAGGCAACCCAGTGGGATTTGATACTTTCTGCCCCGCCGAAGACGAACCCGTCTGCTCGGGCCGGAATCCCGAAGAACCTTCATTTTTCTTCTGCTATCGTGACTTAATCACGAAAATTGGTATTCGCCTTCCTTTTTCTGCTTTCAAAATTCAACTACTGAATCACCTTCACCTCGCCCCCACACAAATTCATCCCAATGGTTGGGCTTATATTGTTGCCTTCGAACAATTATGCACCTCGCTGTCTGTATCCAGCACGGAGCCCCTTTTTTTTCTACTTTTTTAATATATACACCCCCCGGACCGGGTCTGAACCTGCTGAGCTCAAGGGTTGGACCAGCATCCGGGGTCGTGGAGGAAAGAAGCCGGAGTCCAGAAGATTGTTTTCAGTATACAGTGACTCCTTTAAGGACTTTAAAGGTGCCTTTTTAAAAGTCGTTGCCGAGGTCGGTGCCAAGCGTGGTTTCTCCACGAGAACGGGGAAGGGCGATTCCCCCTGTACTGGTCATATGATCATCACTTGCGGAAGCCGGCAGACTACCGGCTGGGGTTGTCAGCAGAGGAAAAGGCACACGCGAAGGCCTTGCTGGCTCACATCGCGGCTCAAGGGCATCTGAGCGCTGCCTCATTAGCGGCAAAGTCTGCAACCGACCTTCCCCAGACCAGTATGGATTTATGCGTATATGTTCATATTTTGTATTGTAGGTATGTGTTGCTTACTAACCCTGGGTTGTGTTCTCCTGTACGCGGGTTCCCAAATGAATCCTTCCGTGGACAAGGTTCCGGATTACGTTCTAGCCCGGCGAGGGAAGTTTTCTGCTCGGACGCAATCCCATGCCTTGAAGCGTCCACGGACCGCCAGTCCTTCTGCTGGGACGAGCAATGTTCCTCCGGCTACCACCGCCGTCTCCGTGCTGGATTTAACCAGTGATGACAGCTGGCTTGATATTGGGAATTACCAAGCATCCGCCCCCGCCGGCTTGACTGGGGTTCCCAGGCTGTGACATCTACGGAGCATGGTAGTCCGGCTCCCTCACCCCTTCCTACCGGGCTCAGGAGGGGCGCTCTGTGGGCAACTGAAGTGGCCACAGAATTGCGTGGAGTGACTCGTCCACCGCCAGAATTTTACGGGACTGGCATTTTGTCACAGGCCCAAGTAAAAGAGCTGGAGATGGCCGAACTATACACTTACAAAACGACTTCTTTGGTGAAACCGTACTCGGTTCTGCTAGAGAAGCATTCCGAACTTCATGCCGAAAAGGATGCCCTCCAGACCGACAGGGATATCCTCCGAGCTGAGCACGACAAATTGGTTGAGGATAATAAGAATTTGACCCTATCTGCTGCTGCTTCAGCAGCGTCGTTGGAGCAATACCAGGCTGACATGAAGCTTATTTCGGACTCCTTCGGATTCGAGGTAGATAAGGAGGCCATCATAAACTTTGTCAAAGGAAAACTGTCGTCCCTATCTGAGTTGGAGAAGAACGCTGTTTTGAGTCAGCAGGTCCAGAAGCTGGAGACTGATGTCAAGAATTTACAAGCTGATTATGACAATAGTCAATCCGTGCTGGAGAACGCTGCTGAAACTGCGTTCAATAATGCCATCAATCAGATCAAGCACTTCAATCCAGATGCGACCTTGAACACGGACCAACTGGATTGCTTTGGATATGTCTTGGGCGACGCGTTCTTCCCGTCAGCTATGGAGACCGAAACCACCAACGATATACCTCCATCCGGGAATCCGGTGATGGAAGCCGCGACACAGCAATTCGAGCAAGAAATGAGAGAAATTTGTCCCCTCATCTCGGATCAACCTTGAAGACCCGGGATGCCGGGGTATTTTGTAATCTTGATTTTCGAATTAACATTCATGAATTCCAGGCCGCATATTGGTCGCTGTTTTTTGCTTTTGATGATATTTGATAAATTCGGACATATTGTTGTGGTATATTTCTACTCTGTATATATTATTTCCTTCGTTCACTTTTGATCCCTTTTTGGGAGGACGAGTTCAAATACCTCGTCCCGAGCCGCAGGGTTAGAACACTAATCTGCGCTTGAGGCAAGGGAGGCTCAAATACCTATCCGGACTTTGGGATGGACGGGTTCAAATACCTCGTGTCTACTTCCGTGGCTAGAACACTCAAATCCACCCTGTGGGTGAGACGTGTTCAAATTCGACAGATTTTCTTACGGGGTTAGAACACTCTATCCTGCCTTTGGGCTGGACGGGTTCAAATACCTCGTGTCTATTTCC